CGTGATGGAGCCCTGCTGTCCTGGAGATGGCCGAACACCTGCCTGCCCATGGGAAGGAGGGAATGAATTCCTTGTTTTGCTTTGCTTGCGTTCGTGGCTTTTGCTTTCCCTATTAAACTGTCTTTATCTCAACCCACGAGTTTTCTCACTTTTACCCTTCTGATTCTCTCCCCCATCCCACCGGGGGGGAGTGAGCGAGCGGCTGGGTGGGGCTTGGTTGCCGGCGGGGGTTAAACCACGACAGGTGTAATGGGCACGTCTGGGCATCTGTCCTTCAGCTGATGCTGATCTCCTGCTCCCCTGGAAGGGGTCGGTTCCCGCATGGGTTTAGGATGCCGACGCTTTGCGTGGGGGACCCGCTGGCAGCAAGCAGAGCTATGTGGGTGCAGGATGGCTCTGCAGGGCCGGGATGGAGAGCCTTGCCCTTGGCCTCTGCCTTTGGAAAGTCCCAGTGTGCGGATGAGCTCCCGGTTTCCATGCGTGCTGCTCTCCTGGGCTGGCTGTGCTGTATCTGTCCTGTCTAAAGCAGACCTGCTCTTGCAAACCTTCTCCCTCAGGGAAGGTCCCTGTCCCATGAAGGCAGCCCAAGGGTTATGCATTTTTGTAGGGAGAGCATAACTAGACCCAGGGACTCCTCGGCATCCTCCTGTCCAGCTGCAGTTCCCTCCCCTCCTCTCCGCAGCGGGTGCCTTGGCTTAGCTGGACGTTTTCCATCACCTCCAGCCCCCTTTATTGTATCTTTAGGGGTTATTAGGACAAAAGGGGATACGAGAGGCTGCAGGGGCAGCACGGTTGGCTGGGAGGACCCTGTGGGCAAGATGACCCTGTGGGCAGGATGACCGCTGGGGCCGTGGGACCCCGTGTCCCTGGACAGGTGGAATCGCCGCACACCTTCCTCCCGGCCCCGCTCCCAGCTCCCAGCCTTATAACCCGCTGCAATTTCCTGGCTGGCGATCCCTCTCCTGACTCAGGGAGCAGAAACACCCCGGAAGAGAGACGGTGCCAGCAGCTCCCAGCGCAGGGACGGTCACGGGGTGGAGCAGAGGGTCCCCCTGCACCCCTGGGATGCCGGCTGCAGGGGGGCAGGCTGCGAGAGGCTCCCGCGAGCAAACAAAAAACCCCTGAATATTTCATAAAGGTCTTTGTCTTCCCCCCTCCACCCTGATTTCCAGTCCCCCCCTCCCGCCTCTCCCTTGCAAACAGCAGAGCTGCCCTCCGGTCCCGCTTTCCACCGGCCCAGCACCCCAAGGCGCTCCCGCAGCTGCCGAGCCCAGCCAGGTCGTGCCCT